GGCACGTTTTTAGCGAAGCCTACCAGCCCTTCCCGAGGGGAGGTGGACTGCCGCCAGTGCATGCGAACAGAAACGACAGCCGATCAGAAACAAGGGTTCGGGCGGGCTGGCCCTCGCCGAGGAAGACTATAGATTGCACCCTCCGCAGCGCGGGGACGGTGAACTCCCCGACCATGGGTGCTTTCATGGTGCCTGCGACAGACGAGCGAACCCGGCAAGACAGCGGACGAGGTTGACCCCTGCGAGTTCTGAAGCATTTTTCCCAAAAGCAACTCTCTTGGACAGGTACCATCAGCCCCCCAGCAGAAAATCCGAGCCTCACGTCGAGAAATGATCCTGCGAAGGACCCAACCATGTGCAGTTGTGAGTGACGCAGCTGTGGGTATCGTCCTCGGTGACCCTCTCTATGGGGCCACGACGCGTGTGACGGGTGTGCCAGACATAGGTACGGGTACGCCATGCGGGCGTTGCCACTGGAGCCGTCGGTGGAGCCCCCATGAGGCCACGAAACGTTTGAGGGGCGCGCCGAAATGCAGGGTGGAACCGCATGCGGGCGCTGCCACTGGGGCCTTACGTGCTATGGGGCCACGAGACGTGTGAGGGGTGCGCCGAAATGGGAGGGTGGAACCGCATGCGGGCGCTGCCACTGGCGCCTTCGGGGGAGCTCCCTATGGGGCCACGAAACGTTTGAGGGGTGCGCCGACTTGGGGGGTGGAACTGCATGCGGGCGCTACCACTGGGGCCTTCTGTGGAGCTCCCAATGGGGCCTCGACACGTGTGACGGGTGCGCCGAAATTGAACGTGGAACCGCATGCGGGCGCTGCCGTTGTGGCCTTCGGTGGAGCTGCTTATAGGGCCACGAACCGTGGGGTGCGCCGACATGGGGGGTGGAACCGCATGCGCGCGTTGCCATTGGGACCGTCGGTGGAGCTCCCTACGGGGCCACGAAGCGTGTGAGGGGTGCGCCGAAATGGAGGGTGGAACCGCATGCGGGCGCTGCCACCGGGGCCTACGGTGGAGCTCCCTACGGGGCCAAGAAGCGTGTGAGGGGTGAACCGAAATCAGAGGAACCGCATGCGGGCGCTGACACTGGGGCCTTCGGGGGAGCTCCCTATGGGGCCACGAGAGGCGTGTGAGGTGTGGCCGCATGTGGGCGCTGCCACTGGGGCCTTCTGTGGAGCTCCCTACGGGGCCACGAAGCGTGTGAGTGAGCGCCGACATGGGGGTGGAACCGCACGCGGGCGCTGACATTGGGGCCCTCGGTGGAGCTCCCACTGGGGCCACGAGACGTGTGAGGTGTGCGCCAACATGGGGGGTGGAACCGCATGCGCGCACTGCCATTGGGACCGTCGGTGGAGCTCCCAATGGGGCCACGAGACGTGTGAGGGGTGCGCCGAAATGGGAGGGTGGAACCGCATGCGGGCGCTGCCACTGGCGCCTGCGGTGGAGCTCCCTATTGGGCCACGAAGCGTGTGAACGGTGTACCGAAGTAGCCATGCGGAGGGCAGAGGCAGGGATGGGAGGACGGAGGAGGCAGCGGGAGGAGTTTGGAGAAGGCGAGGTGCTGTCTCTTCAAAACGAAGACCCAACACCACCTGATGGTTGGGAAAGATATCCAGTGTTTTCTGACATTTCTCCGATGGCAAGACTCCAACTGCACCGCGAAAACAATGTGATCTGAATATATCGGCACGCTCCTTCGCCTCGCCAGCGCTCGGGTTTGCTCAGCGCCTGGGACGTCTTAGAGTCTCCAGGTGGTTTTGAGGGGGTCGCTGGTCAACCCTGGGTTGTCGTCGCTACCCTTCTTCCGTGACGGGGGGAGGGATAAGCCGAAGCCGAAGAAGAAACATGAAATAATCCTGGCGAGGGACCCAGCCATGTGCAGTTGTGAGTGCCGCAGTTGTGGGTATCGTCCTCGGTGAACCTCTCTCTGAGGCCACGACGCGTGTGACGGGTGTGTCAAAATTGGCACGGTACGCCATGCGGACGTTGCCACCAGAGCCGTCGATTGAGCCCCATGTGAGGCCACGGAACGTGTGAGGGGTGCGCCGGAATGCAGGGTGGAACCGCGTGCGGGCGCTGCCACTGGGGCCTTCGGTGGAGCACGGGCCACAGAACGTGAGAGGGGTGCGCCGACATGGAGGTGGAACTGCATGTGGACCCTGCCACTGGGGCCTTCGGTGGACCAGACTATGGCCACGAAGCGTGCGAGGGGTGCGCCGAAATGGAGGTGGAAATGTATGCGGACTCTGCCACTGGGGCCTTCAGTGGAGCACCCTATGGGGCCACGAACCGTGTGAGGAGTGCGCCGAGATGGAGGTGCAACCGCATGCGGACCCTGCCACTGGGGCCTTCGGTGGAGCACCCTATTGGGCCACGAAACGTGTGAGGGGTGCGCCGAGATGGAGGTGGAACTGCATGCGGATCCTGCCAATGGGGCTTTGGGTGGAGCACCTTATGGGGCCACGGAACGTGTGAGGGGTGCGCCGAAATGGAGGTGAAATTGCACACAAACCCTGCCATTCGGGCATTCGGCGGTGCAACTTGTTGGGCCACGAAACCTGCGAGGGGTGCGCCGACATGGAGGTGGAACTACACGCTGACCCTGCCATTGGGGCCTTCGGTGGGCCAGGCTACGGCCACGAAACGTGTGAGGGGTGCGCCGAGATGGAGGTGCAACCGCATGCGGACCTTGCCACTGGGGCCTTCAGTGGAGCACCCTATGGGGCCACGAACCGTGTGAGGGGTGCGCCGAAATGGAGGTGGAAGTGCATGCGGACCCTGCCACTTGGGCCTTGGGTGAAGCATCTTATGGGGCCACGGAACGTGTGAGGGGTGCGCCGAAATTAAGGTGGAATTGCATGCAAACCCTGCCATTCGGGCCTTCGGCTGTGCAACTTGTTGGGCCACGACACCTGCGAGGTGTGCGCCGAAATGGGGGTGGAACTGCATGCTGACCCTGCCATTGGGGCCTTCGGCGGAGCACTCTATGGGGCCACGAAACGTGTGAGAGGTGCGCCGAAATGGGGGTGGAATTATTTGCGACCCTGCCACTGGGGCCTTCGGTGGAGCACCTTATGGGGCCACGGAACGTGTGAGGGGTGCGCCGAAATTGAGGTGGAATTGCATGCAAACCCTGCCATTCGGGCATTCGGCGGTACAACTTGTTGGGCCACGAAACCTGCGAGGTGTGCGCCGAAATGGGGGTGGAACTGCATGCTGACCCTGCCATTGGGGCCTTCGGCGGAGCATTCTATGGGGCCACGAAGCATGTGAGAGGTGCGCCGAAATGGGGGTGGAATTATTTGCGACCCTGCCACTGGGGCCTTCGGTGGAGCACCTTATGGGGCCACGGAACGCGTGAGGGTGCGCCAACATGGAGATGGAACTGCATGCAGACCCTGCCATTGGGGCCTTCGGAGGAGCTCCCTATGGGGGCACGACGCGTGTAAGGGGTGCGCCGAAATGGAGGCAGCGGGAGGAGGAGGGAGGGGGAGGAGGAGTGAGGAGTGAGTGACGCAAGGCGTTGCCTCTTCAAAACGAGGACCCAACACCACAGGACCCAACACCACACCGAGGAAAAAAGCACATAAGGTTCGGAGCTCAGCGGGTTATTTGGATCGGCGTTGGGTTCCCTTGGTGGCGTCTCCTGCGCCGCCCCTGGCGCGCTCGTCGCGCCAGGGAGGGGAGCCCAGCTGCGATCCAAGAAATCCGCGCGGAGCTCTGCAAGCTTATGTTTATGCAGGAGTTGCGTCCTCTCATGAAAGGGGGAAGAGGGGGAGGGGGAGGTGGAGGAGGAGCGCCCTGCTCGCCTGTCCTCATGACTCGCGCGCCGCTGGACCAGGACATTAGAGAGCGTTGCACGATCGAGGCAAGAGGAGGGGGGATTGGCCCACGCCGAGTGTGATCAGCTGGAGCATGAAACTTATAAGCTGAGTGTTTTTCACCCTCGCCACTGGAGATCAAGCGCCCGTTTGCCACGCCTCAACTAAACCCGATCGCGATACGAAAGGAGGAGGGAGAGAGAGAAGGAAAAGGAGGAAGAGGAGGAGGTGGGGGTGGAGGGGGAGGAGGATGAGGAAAGCTAGGTGCGCTCGCGTCATATCTGACGTCCTACCCCTCCCGCCCATCCTTTACCATGGCGTAGACCTCCTCTCTATTCGCACAGTCGGATGTCGAGCAGGGCAATGATCCCGAGAGGGTGCGCGATGCAGCGTAGAGCACGGCATAACAGGACGTAGAAGGGCACGGCAGAGCGTAGTATGTCATAGCATGGCGCGGCGTTGCGTAGTGAAGAATTGCATCACAAAGCATTGCAACGCAAATAATGGCATCGAACAGCGGCACATAACGGAACATGGCATAGCATGGCGTTGATGATAAAGGTGTCGCATGACATAGCATGTTGTGGAAAAGCGTAGTCAAGCATTGCATATCCTATCATTGCAGCTGAAGGCATGGAATCGCACAGCGGAGCACCACAGCATTGTATTGCATGCCGTGGCATGGCACTGGAAATAATGACGCCAGCGCTGCAGCGGGAGCACGATTCGGAACGAGTGGAAACGCGGAGATGAGGCCAGCGCTGCAGCGGGAGCACGATTCGGAACGAGCGGAAGCGCGGAGATGAGGCCAGCGCTGCAGCGGGAGTACGTTTCGGAACGAGCGGAAGCCCGAAAATGAGGCCAGCGCTTCAGCGGGAGCAACATCTTTGAAAAAACCAGCGAAAACCCAATTCTCGGGAATCCCGTGTGTAGAAAGCCAGTACGCGGAGGGGGGTCGAACATCTTCCGGACGTCATCAGGGGAGAGAGGAGAGTAGTATTCATATGGTGCAATCGCAGAGGAAGAGAGCCAGCCAGTCAGGAGGAGGAGGAGGAGGAGGAGGAGGAGGAGGAGGAGGAGGAGGAGGAGAGGGAACGCTCATTGTGCCAACTGTGAGTAACTGTGAGTGAGAACTGTGCAGCTAGGGAGGGTTGTCGACCGCCACGGGTCTCGCAGGTGGAGGGCCGCGACTACGCCAAGAGAGGCGAGGGGATGTACATGCTCAGCCCCGAGACCGGAAAGGTTGCGAACGGGAGGAGAAACGTGGATGAATTGGAAGAAGAGTCAACGACGCAAACATACATTTTCGAAGGTCCGCGCGGCCAGCGTACATTCTGACAGTCCAGCGTCAGCGAGATGTTTGCAACAGGAACTCGCGACAAATTCCAGATTGGGTCCAACCATTTTACTCTTGGCCGCGTCGGGGAGTTCCCGACCTGACGGCGTGCAGGGAGCGTTCCTGCAGCTGCGCGGAGAGAGAAGAAGGGAAGGGGGGCGGGAGGGAACGGTGGAGGGGAGAGATGGGCATTCCCCGAGGATCTGTATAGGCTTCAGCACGGGGGCCGCAATTGAAGCAATCAGCCATTGCGCTGCATGGTAGACTGCACATCGAGTGCAGGAACCTACTCGTTGGGGTCCACGTTGGTAAACAGACAATTATCGCAGCACCAGGAAAGGTGCGACCACACTTTCTTTAGCCGTTGCTCTCACACCCCACCAGTCCTTGCCAGGCAGCGATCCTTCCCCGGTTGTCATCCTGACTCGTTTCTAGACATGGGTTGTTCTCCGAGCCGCTCCTGGCGGCGACGAGGGAGCCTCCCGAGGGCACCCAAAGGCCAAAGCTTACGAGAATCCAAAATAATCCCCAGAGTCATGTTCGGACCTCCCGTATGGTCCCGCGTCTGGGGTGGAACGGGGCCGCGGCGAGAGGGATCTGCGGCGGAGCGGCTGGCGCAGCGCGGGAGGGGGGGAGGGGGGGGGGGGCAGGTGGGCTCTATGTCTCGAACTTGTCGATTCCGAGGGAAAACGCTGGAGAGGGGGCGCATTCTGGCTACAGTCGGACCGAGGTAGAAGGTCGAGGTCAGTTCGGGGATGGTACCCCAGTGCTTTCCGTGTTTGTTGGACGATCTTGTCGGCGAGTGCCCTCGAAGTTTGGCCAGCGGAGGGCCTCATGTTCTTGAAGGATGTCGTTGTGTCCCGGGTCCGACTGCACGGCCGTCTCGGAGCCGAGGGACGAACAGCTGCATAAACGTAACTTCTCGGAGGTCCGCGCAGACCTCTTGGATCGGGGCAGGGTTCCTGGCGGCGCCTCCAGCGCCGCCCTCTGGAGCTCTCCGCGCGCCAGGGAGGGAGGGCCGGCGCCGATCCAGGGGAATCCGCGCGGGCCTCCGAGAAGTCATGCTCGTGCCGTTGTTCGTCCCTCGGGCATGGGGCAGGCAGCCCCGCCCAGTTTGGACGTAGGCAGTACGGCCGAGCATCTGATTCGGAAACCTCCCCCCAAACGGCTGGGCCAGCGTTTCTTCGCCAACTCGTCGAACAGCTGGCCCAGTTTCTCGAGACCCTTCGCCCTTCCAGCGTGAACACGGACACTTTGCACTGGCTTGACTTAAGACAACTCCCGAGAGTTGGCCCATGTTTCTTAAGCGGTGCGTTTCTCGATCATATTTCTGGCTGTGGGTTGTCGTCGTTGCAAGGGCAAGCGCGGAAATACACACACACACATAACGTGCAAATGCGCAAGGTTGAGACCTTCTCGCCCTTCACGAATCCTTCCCCCGCAGCATCGCCATGGATTACAATTGCATTGCACGTTGATGTACTCACAAACGTCGTGGTTCCAATGTTTTCCTGTTTTGCCTGGCAAGCAATGTGCTGAAATAGAGGCCAGAGGCGACTTCTAATGTATGGCTTCTGAAGCCCAGCGATTGATTCCCACTTTTGCCAGCCAGAGAGATGTGCGCAATGTGTGTGGGTGTGTGTCACTCCTCTGGTGTACCCATGGCTCACACTTTGCTTTCCGCGGCTGTGCTTGTTTCGTCCGCATCGCTCTTCGGATATACTTTGCCCGGTGCAGCTTCAAGAATCTCTACATATGTGGCATGTGATGCTGGCGCAGGGTTTTTTCCGACGTCGGAGGACAAAGTCATCCCTGCACGGGGAAGGGCTGGAGGAGAGGAGGAAGGGGAACTCGGAAGTGGAAGGCCAGTTTGGCGATCGTGACAAGCTTGTGGACAGACGGAAACCGCGGCCTTGCCTGCTCGTGGACGAGTCAAGGCTCGGGACCCCCTCCCCTTCTCCCCCTCTCTGTCCCGCACTCCCCTCTCATCCAATCTCAGTACGACCTGCAGGTGGCTTGGCATGTGCGGTACGAACGCTGCAGTCGTAGTCGCGGGAGGGAGGCCGTTCCGTCTCGTGACGTGCGGCGGAGTCGTTGCTGCCTGCTGCGGGGGCCGCCCGCAAAGGTCGTCGAGGGAGGCTGGAGCCTCTGGCTCGAGATCATCAAGAGCAACAACAACTTCCCCTCCCAGGCGGGCCCTGCCGTCGCGAGCACGCCCGTGCCATTCCAGCTCCGCGCGCGCTTGGCGCGCCGCGGCGCTCCGCAGAGGAGTTCCCCCTCGCGCTCTCGCGAGCGCCGGCGCCAGCGCCACGATGGGAGCTCGACTGGCAGCGCTGTCCGCCAGGGCCCGTTTTGTCGATTACTTGGACCGCCGAAACAAGTTGCACAGAAAGCATACGCCTTCGGAGCTCTGGGCGCCGCCTCCAGCGCCGCCCCTGACCCGCTCCTCGCGCCAGGGAGGGCCAAAAAATCCGCGCGGACCGTCGAAAGTGTATGCTTATGCTGTTTTCCTTTCTCTGGAACGCTGGGTGTCTTGATCGGGACGGCCCAGTCGACTGGTTTGCCGTCTGTCCACGTGTCACTCCTGCTTTCGTGTGCTCCGCACCTTCCGTCTAGTTCTACCCGAATCGATCTTCCATTTGAGTTGTCTTGGGTAATTCTTGGCGGGGGGGAGTTCCCTCGCAGAAATGATGTACGCAGCCCACCTGATGAACCCAAGGAAATCCCTGGGGTGGAGAATCTTCGGAGGGCTGCGTTCTGGGAGCGGATTGCCCGTATCCTTCGGATCGGTCCAGTCCAGTCCCTGCGCTGCTCTCAGCCTCGAGATGTCCATGCTCTCGAAAGTGTATCCTTTGTAATTTCCTCGGGGGCCTTTCCTTTCCCACAAAGTCGCCAGGTTCAATAATTTCCCAAGTCGATACAGAATGTGCGCAAATACCTATTCTGCTCAGAGTAAATCAGGCGGACATCAAGATGAAAGTGGTAAGCTCTTCCAATACCACGTGGGAGCCAAGCAGCTGAGGCTCTCTAGCGCAAACCTGGCGGAGGCAATTTGGCGGTGCACCGCTGGACAGCCAGGCCGGCGATAGTCCCAGCCGTCCTTCTGGCATTCGTGGGGCCCAGCGTCTTGCGAGATTGACTTCTTCGAGTTCCCATGCCGACCGACACCATCCGACAAGCGAGCGCGCTGGTGCTGCAGAGGCCAGTCAGCCGCGGGATCACGATTTTTCACTGTGTCTGCCGGCCCCCTCGTGCGGTACGGCCGAATGTTCCCGCGCCTCCCCGCCCAGTGGGTGGAATACAATTGCGAAGGCCTTACGGCCTGTGCCGTCGGCCCTGAAGGGGGACGACTACGACGACGACGCCGACGACGACGACGACGACGACGCCGACGACGACGACGAAGACGACGACAACGACGACGACGACGATGCGCCGTCCCGCCCAGTGGGTGGAATACAAGTACGAGAAGGCCATCCTGTCCAGACTGCAATGCTACATGCAGCGCGCTCGGGGGTGGCGCGCCAGAGCGGGGGCCGGGAGCCTGGGGCTCGCGGGTTCGTAGAGGCGGGCTATCCCAAGGTGGGATGATGGAACATACCCAGCTAAATACGGTAGGTTCGTGCGGCATTAGCGCGCCGGCGACGTCGGCGAAGACGTTCAAGGTAGAACGCTGCGACGCGAGAGCACCGAGGGGCGCGGTGACGCCACTGGACCCGACGGAATTCAACCTTGAACGATCGGGTCCGCGGTCGATTCAAGGCTGAACGATCGACGCGGTGTCAAACAAATTTGCGCGCGCCAACGCCGCACGAACCGATCGTACTCACGTCTCACGTCATTCTTACAGGGTCCGTTTGAGCGATCTTCCTGTGCACCCATCTCTGCCCTTACCTCATCGCTACGTCCCCCCAAGGGATGCACGCTTATCATTCCGTTTGACTAGCTGCGGTCTGAGTGGCAGCGGCGCACAAGTCCAGCAGCCACGCGCCTGGGCCGTTCTACCTCGGAGCGCGGGATTTGACAGTTTGGGATAGGGCTGGGGGTGTTTGGATGGCGGTTTCAGCTATGGGGGCGAGGTGATCTTGGCAGCAGCTTAGCCAGTTTTAGCCCAGGGGTGACGAGGTGTGGATAGCCGTGTCAGCCATGGAGCTGAGTGCATCTTGACGGTAGTTGTAGCCAGAGGGTGGGGATAGTACGGTGACAGTTCGAATGCGTTGCGGGAGGTGGGGAGACCCAGGTGACATGTGTACCTACGGTGGTGAACGCAGTTTGGAGACAGTTGTGCCTCGGTGTAGTCTTGTTTGCGGCAGCTTGAGTCGCCCGGGTCGGGATTGTTCAGTGGCAGTTGTGATGGGTCGTCGGAGTTGGGAGATGTCATCGTCTCGGCCGAGAGAGTGAAGATATTTGGGTGTCCCTTCGATCCGAGGTGGCGAAGATATTGCGGTGGCAGTTTTGCCAGGGGTGAGGGATGGTGAAAATATGCAGCGGCAGGCTTATCATAAACAGAATCTCCGTTGCCATTTTGGTTCAAGCCGTTGTGCATTCAAGCGTTCGACCTTGACTTGCGTCAACAGCTTAAGATCTTGTTAGAGCCTGGAAGACTCCACGATGACAATGGTATTGACACCTTCTCAGTATTTGTTAGCGGGTGTCAACGATCGGACAGAAGAAACACGCTGACCATGACCAAGATGTCGCGGGATCTCACCGATCTTGGTTATGGTCCGTACCGGCCGCCACCGATTCGTGAAGAACATCCACGGGTCGACGGTGACCAAGGTCGGCGCCGACGTTTCCGTGTTCAGTTTGGTCATAGTCGCCGTTCTCTTTCCCTCCACTTCATGGGTTGATCCACGTAGATATCTGTGTCCCTCCCGATTGCGACCGCCCAGATTTGGGAACTTGCGTCAATGCGTGCTGCAAGTTGCGCGTTGACGTTCCTGGCATCGGAGCGAGGCTTCTTGTCACTCAGCTTGCCGACTTGATCGCTAATGGAGGCCTTGATGGGCGGTACTTCCCAGAGGGGAACAATACGATGCAGCCTTGGAGCCGGCTGGGGGGCTGAGATGGCCCAGCATTGGCTCCAGCCAGCAGACAGGTGGAAAAGGGACCCCTCGACGCTACGGCTTGACGCGGCTCCAGAAAACCAGTAATTGTCGATCCCAGCAGGAGTCCAGGGACCGATGTTGAACGGATTGTGCTTCATCCCTTTTCCCTCTTGCCCGAGTTTCTTGGGGCTTTTCCAGCTCAGGCCCCACCGCCGCATTCAAGTCCAGCCATGGAGTTCGACAGACGACTTTGTCGTGCAAGCGATCCATGAAGCAGCAAAGCGCCTTTAGAATGTCACCTTGCATCTTGCAGTGCAGGCGACTGAGCTGGGCTCTGTCCTTTCCGACTTCAGCCATTCCCAGGATTTCGTAGTTGCTAATTCCGCTTTCGGTGGCCATGGCCAGAACTACAAGAACTTGGCATTGCTGTTGCAGGGGCTTCAACGCGAGTGCACTGGGACAACGTTGCTGGGCTGTCCAAAGCCGACTGGCGCCGAACTGATGCACACGTGAGTGACCCTTGATGTGTGATGTTGCGCCGCACCCACACCCAAGCGGGATAGTCCGTTCGAGACAGACTCTGGGACAAGCATTGCCCGTTGGCAGTGCAATTTCCTGGGACCAGATGGGGCGTCGCTGGCATTTTTCCGCTGCACGCGTCAGATTGGATCTGCAATGCTTGATTAGTTTGGACATGTGTTTACTAGGCTTTTGGGCAGTGCTTTTGACAGACCGTTGAATGGTCGCTGAGTTTGGAAGAACAGTCCAGCCGCATTGCGCACTGGGGGTGGAAGTGGGGTAGAATCCCCTCCCCCGAAGGGGAAGAAGCAGGTTAGCAGAGCGAGTTCCCTAGACCACTCACGCCCAGAGGGCTGGCGGCTGGGGCTTGCTCCAGGACCAGCTCTGCATCCTGAGTAGCTTTTTGGCGGTCCCCGGGCCCGTGAAAGGCTTTCGGGGGCCCGAGACCGACGACGAATGTCCAGGACCCTTTTGATTCGGGGGCGGCCAGAGGGGGGGGGATGGCTACTGGGCTTCTGGTTGCCTTTCGTCGGGCCACGCCAGACTTGCAAAAGGGTGCAACGCTTCTGAGGAATCAGCCCAGTGCGTTTTATATCCAGAGCCCCCGCGCGCGCCCGCCAAGGCCTTGCAAGCTTCTCGTTGTTTCCATCCGATTGTGCTTTCTTGTTTTGCCCAGGCGTGCCGCCCAGAGGGGCTCCGCCGACGACGTATGGCCAGCCCCTCCGTTGGCGTCGCGCGTTGCGTATTCCTCGACAGACGTCGACGCCGGGCCGACTGGTGGCTTCCTTGGGCTATTATACGGATTTATTTTGTTCGGTCGGGACTCAAGCCTTTTTTTGCATGTTTTCGAGAATCCACGCGGCCTCGATTATCCCCACTCTTCCTGCCATTGGTGGTTCCAGCTTCCACGTATGTCTGCAATGCTTTCGTTCCAGAATGCGTGTGATCAAGCATGTCGAAGAGAAATCCAGGCGTTGCCGTCATGTTCTTTTGGGAACTTTCCAGAGGATGCCCCCGCATGTGGCAGATGGGCTTGACCGGCAGGACGCCGACAGAGCGCGTAAAATGGCCAGGCAAGGACGCAGGCGACACCATGTTGACACTGGCGTCGATCGGCTGAGTAGGCCGCTGATCAGAGAAGCTTACGAGGCTGGCGTCTGCCACAGATCCCTCCTTTCCTGTCCTCTTCTCCCGGCCCCATAGATTGCCGAACAGAGGCCCCTTGCAACTCGTGAGTCTGAACGAGCAGGCGCCTCTCTGACAGGTCATGCCGAGCCGTCGTGACTACAGGTGGCACCTTTCCACACGCATGTGTCGCTCAATCGTACTGGCTGACTTTTCCTTGATGTATCTTTGGCTCCAGACGCTCCCCTGAAGCAGCGCAAACGAAACGAAACGGATATCATGGCCAGGGCCATGATATCTCTCCGGATGTCATGGCCCCCTTGTTTATTCAAGTGGCTTATACCATGCCACCAACTCCCCAGGTTGGGCCTCTCGGAGGGTTCTTGGTGGCATTGGGGGCAGTTGGGGGGCTTCTGAGGGTTTCTTGCGGGCCCTCGTGGAGGCTTTTTGGGGCCTCTTGGGGTTTCTTGCGGGCCCCGTGGGGGCCGGAGTGTCTCACACGCCTTGTCACCCCTGGCAAGCGGGGGTCGGCGGATTTCAATACGTCTCCTGGTCCCCCCCTCGTCCGCGCACATGCCTCTGGTCATAATTTGCGAGCCCACCTCTGGGACGTCCCCCTCTTGGACGCTCCCGAGAAAACGTCAGAGAATGTCCAGGACCCCTGTCTTTCGGGACCCACTTCTCTCTATCCTAAGCGGCGGGAGGCTGGATGAGGGTGGGGCGCGTTTTCTGTTTGCGTGCGATTCAAACATTACGACGCAATCGTCCAGGCTGCGTACGATCAGGATAGGATGGACCTCGCCACTGCTAGAGGCAGCAGGGTTGGCCAGCACTGGCAAGGTCGTACACCTGCATCTGCGGCCTCACGGGCTCGCTGGGGCAGAGCGCGGAGCGCGAGTACCTCTCGAAGTACTACGAGGCAGCCCAGCCTCCCCTCTCCCGCCCGTGCGAAGTGCTGCACGCTGCGCCAGGCCCGCGTTGTGTCGACCGGCGGCGACCCCGCCGCCGGCGTTCAACGTTGAACGCCGTTGGCGACCAAGAATCGGTCGATGTCGAACGATCTGGCGTTTCGGAAACAGCCGATCGTTCAAGGTTGAACGGTCCCCGCTGTGTCAGGAACCGACGCCAGGGTCGACACGACCCGATCCCGCGGTACAGCAGGTCCGCGTCGCCCTGACGCGGCCGAGATCCCAGTTCGATCCGATATTCGCGTCGGCCACGCCGCGCCTGGCGCGCTCCACGCACAATAGGAGGGGGCCCAGCGATGACCCAAGTGATCTGTGATGACCTCCGACGGTGTATGCCCATGCAGGTTTCTGTTTGGAGCCGGCCGGGAGTCTCATGTGGCCCAGCACTGGTTCTGGCCAGCAGGAAGGGCGGGCAGTTTTGAGGCTGTGGGTTCAGAAAGGTTTTTTGCCTTTTTCAGCCTCTGAGAGCCGTTTTCGGGCCCCTTGGCTGTGAAAAACGGATCTGGGGGAAAAAAGTGCACCAGACGGACCACCGATGGACACCGGGAGGGCTCCCAGGACTTATTTCGAGCGGATTTGACTTCGCTACCCCTTCCTGGCCGATTTTTCTGGGTCCCAACAAGTTCAGACCCCCAGACCGCCTCCAGCTTCCGACAATGTCTGTCTATGCGGTGCTGATTTTCTTATGGATTCAGCTCTTTTCAACAGGCGCCACGTTGCCCCTGTCTCGATGTGCCCAGGATTTCTGGGGGGCTGGAAGCGGCATCGGCTAGAGCGGAGTTTAGCAAAGTCTTTCTGCATGATGCAAAGCAGCCGGTCACATTGCAAGGCCGCGTAGTGCCGTGCAGACCAGTGGTGCACAGCAATGCAATGCCATGCACAGCAGCAATGCAATGCCATGCACAGCAGCGAAGCGGTACAACGCAATACAGGCCGTGCAGTCAACGCGGCGGCAGCAGGGCGGCAACGGGCGACAGCGGGGCGTCACGAGCCGAAAGTCCAGAGTGTACGCCCAGGGGCCCAGACGGGGCGGTAACGAGTCGGTAACGGGACGGCAGCGTGACGGCAATGCGGCGGCCATCGGGCGGCAACGGGTGTCAACCGGGCGGCAACGAGCGGACAACGTGTAATTCGCGCCCAGTTGTTCAGAAGGTCAGCGCGGGCCCTGTAACAAACGTATCGTTTGGGGAAGTGCGTCTTACCACACGTCATCGCATCACAAAGCATCGGAATACAGGCATCGCAGCACATGACATCAACATGAAACACCTCACGGTTTCACCGAACCACGCATTTCGTTGCTCATAATGGCATCACAATGCAGCGCAGCACAATACGTAATTTTACAACGACGCTGAGTGGATGGGGGTCAAGCGGGAACCCTCCTCTGAGGTGCTCCTCCCGCCTTCTCCACTGCGCCTGAGGAGTGGGCTGTCCCACATTGTACACGGTGTGCGGAGTGAGTGGAAGTGCTAGTTGGAGGGATTTGGCGAGAGGTTCATGGGGGGAAAGGGGGCTCGTGGACCCGTGTGTTCCTTGACTCATGCGCTGTACTTCGACGACCCATCGCGTATCCGATTCTGAGCTCCCCCTGTCCGGGCTGGTACGCCCCGCAGATCCGCCCCCCTGCGATCGGGCTTGGCCATGTGCAGGGTTCCCGGGGCGCGCTTGCGCGTGCAGTGCTACGGGAGTAGCTCGAGAAAAAGGGGGGATGGCGGTTCGGAAACGACGGCGGTGGACGGCGCACGGAATGGAGGGGATGCGAGGGGAGTAGGGGGAATGAATGGAGGTGAGTGGGCGGCCGTGGGAGGGAGCGAGGGGAGATAAGGAGAGGCAAGGGGAGGGGCCGAAAGGGAAGGGACGGGCAGAGTGGTGATTGGAAGGGACGGGAGAGAAGGGGGCCAGAGGGGGTGGGGTGGGAGAGGCGTACGATGGAGAGAACAGTTGGGAAGGGCCAGGAGGGGCGGGGACCGTACAAGGGGCGTGGAGGGGAGGGGAGGGGCGGGGCTTGGTAGGGTGCCGCGGCCAGAAGGGGAGGGAGGGGAGGGAAGAGAAGGACGATGATGAGGACGAGGCCGAAGAGGATGGGGACAGACATGATCATCGTGAAGTCGATGAGGAGGAGAAAGTTGACGAGGAGGATAGCAATGAGGTGAGCTGGAGATGTTCGTTGAGCTCTTAATGGGATTTGCGCACGACTGGCTCAAACGCAGTAGGGAACACCCGAGAACCGACTGTGAGAGCTGGTTCTGGACCGTATCCGCACCTTGCCCAACCGCAGGGGAAGGGACTACAAGAGGATTGGGGGTGAGGAGCGTGCAGGGGAGGGAAGGTAAGCAGAGGGGAAGTGTGAGTGGAGGGGGGCCAAAGAGGGAGTGGACCAATGGGGCTGCAAATTCCACTGAAACCGCAGCGCGGAAGAGAGCGTGGGTAGAGATGCTGAGGCTGCCACGTTCAACGCGCCATTCTTCCTGGACACGTGCCGCGGCAAGGGCGGCAAGGCGCCTCTCGCAACTTCACGCCTTGGGCCAAGGATACAAGCATTATGCTACCGCAAATGTCTCCCAGACATTCCGGTTGGCTCCCGTTCACCCGATTCGTCATCGGCCGCGGTTCAGTTTGCCGAGGGTTGGCGTTTGCAGTGTGTGTCGGGCAGCTTACGCATACGGGAGAAAGTCCGAGCATTCGCCCACGATGGTTCACGATGTGCCACGTGCTTTTTCTGATCGTGAATTTTTCAGATTCTGAAATCTGGCTTCTGCAATATGCTTTCACTCAGATAATGTCGTGCGATCTATTATTTGACGTGCGCTGTATGGGGCGGGTGGCCTGCGTCTAGCGGGATGTGGTGAGCTGGCTGTAAAGCCAAGGGCAGCACGAGGAGGGCTCCAGCGCCAGGAGGGGCCTCTCCATACCTGGGAACGCTGGTCCGACCCCTCTCCCGAGGGCATGTTTGTCCCGGTCCGCGTTCCCTAAACAGCTTGTCTGCAGGGGGTCCCATGTATGGCTTCTAAGGCCGCTGGGTGGTGTCATCTGGTCGTGGTCTCTGGTCGGTGTTCGTGGTCTTTGGTCGTGGCTCGTGGTCTCTGGTCTCATGTATGGTCGCCCGTCTGGTCTCATGTACTGTCTCCCGTAGTTGATTCGTTCATCGAAGACGCCAACGGCGAATCACCGCCGCCCACTGCCTTTTGGAAGCGCCTATGTGGCCAACCGTCGGGCCAAAGTCCTGCCAAGCTATAGGACTATGGGTTCCCACAGCTGCTGTGGAACCCCATGTGGGGAGCACTTGGTGGAGTAAGGAAGGAAGAAGAGGAGGAGAGGGAGGAGAAGGATGATGATGATGATGAGGAGGAGGAGGAGGAGGAGGAGGAGCTGGCCTCTTGGAAGCCTTTGAGACCTCCTGGTGGCCTCCTCAGGGCCATCTTGGACCGTCTCTGAGTAGTCTTGAAGTACTCTTGGGGGCATCCTTTGCTGTCTTCGGGCAATATGGGAGGCCTGCTTTTCTGCCTGGGACTGATTGCTGGAAGCGCCTGTGGCCAAATGTTGTGGCAACGCTTGACCAAGGTATTAGACAATGTGCTCCCCCAGCCGTTGTGGAAACCCTGAGGGTAACACGCTTGGGAGGAGGAGAAGGGCGGAGCAGGAGAGGAAGGAGGATGAGGAGGAGAACGAGGAGAACGAGGAGAACGAGGAGAACGAGGAGAACGAGGAGGACGAGGAGGAGGAGGAGGAGGAGGAGGAGGAGTTCTGTTGGAGCCACCTGCTCCGTCGCTGCCTGAGGCCATCTGGGGCCGTTTTGGAGCCATATTGGGTCGTATCGGACCTTCTTGGAGGGCATCGTGAACAGTCTTGGATGACAGCTCGGCCCATATTGGCAGTCTGGAAGGCCATCGCTCGGCCATCTTAGGCATCTTGGAGGTCAGATTGTATTCTCTTTGGGCGTTCTTGGGGCACTCTTTGGGGGCTTCCTGTGTTTTGGGGCCACCTTTGGAGGCCTGCTTGGCCGTCTGAAGCTAACGGCTGTTTCAACATCCCATTGTTGGAGGACTTCTCGGCGCGAGAGTCGCACGAAGAGTCGGCGAGTTCAATCAACATGTCTTTCTGGGAATGTCTGCAGCGAAGAGTGATTCCCATATCCTAGGCATGGGGTCGTTATTATTAGAGTGACGCATTCGCCGCCTGCTCCTTCCTCCCTCCTCGTCCTCCTCTTCTCACTGATACTCAGACTCGCTGACAAACTCCCTCATACTCAGACTCACTCGCACTCAGGCTCACTCGCACTCAGACTGAGTCGTATTCAGATCAAGCATGCTCAGACCATGAACGCACCCACTCGATCTACTGGTACTCAGGCCCGCTCACCCCTATTGCTTCTTCCTTATTCTTGTATACGTAGACTTTGCCACCTAGCGGGCCGATAGAGGCCGCATCTAGGGGGCCGATCCCGCTTATTACATAATACCTCGGCAAAGCACCCTAATAACAGCAATGGTGAACAGGCGAATCGAGGAGTAGCGAGTCGGCTAGTGCAAACAATCATTCCTACGTATTCCTAGCAGTTCCGAGGAAACGCACGGTCATGTGCACCTTACTATTTTTGTCAGGGGTCGTGGCCGTCCAAATCAAACATGTAGCTTGCATTAGGGCGAGAGCACAGTTCCTGAATAGATTGCAAGAAAGTCTCATGCGAATTGGTTGCCGGACCAGGCGATCTAGGGCTCCCCATCTAGCAGAACGCTGGCAGAGAGTAGTACACATTCAATGCATTCTTTCTCGACATCGACGTTTCGGCGCCGACCTTGAAACATGCGCAGCGTGAACAGGACGCGGCACACATCGCGCGCGAAAGGACAGAGTGTCGGTCTCGCTGCGGTGCCGCGCCCATTTTTCCTGAGAGTTGGGCTCCCCCTTGGGCGCGGCGCACACACTTTTCGCACGCCAGTTCGTCGATGCGCGAGCGGGCGAACATGTATTTAGTTCTCGCCTCGTCGCCGCGCAGCTTTCGCTTGAGAGCGGCACTCCCGCCGTGGCGCGCCGCACGTCTTCCGCTCGCCAAGGTTTTGGGCCCCGCGCGAGCGGGCGACGTGTCGCCGTCGCTCGAGCTCCGTCTGCGCTTCGATCTGAAGCTGCGTTGCTGCGCGGGCGCGGCGCATATGTCGCCCGCCGGGTCGCATGACAGCGGTCGCGGCAGCGAAGCCGCGCGAGGGCGGGCGAAATGTTGTCCGCGCCTACGCGCCGTGCAGCTCGCGCGTGGAAATGGCAGTGCCTTTTCGCCGCGGCGCATGGTTCGTCGGCGCCGCGCTCAACGGACACTTCGTGGCCGTTCGGGAGAGGGGATGAACTGCGTTCCCGCCGCAGCGCCGCGCAAGGATTCCTTGAAATTCCGATCCCGCCTCTGCGCGGCCCGCGCAGCAAGTCCGGGGAAGCGGGGCCGAGTGCGAGCGTTTTCCGTTCGCTCGGCGGGAACGCACCCCAATCCCAACATCAGGGCGTGCCACGCTTGATTATGATGTTATGGAGAGTTGTCGGAATGGGCGAGGCCCGCTGATTCGTCCGACCAGGCTACCTTGATACGTATATTCACTCATGCTCAGACCATTCATACGCATATCCAAGCAGACTCAGCTGAGCCAAGACCAGACTCATACGCACAGACCATTCACAATCTGACCAGTCACACTCAGACTCATTAGTAGTCAGACTCACGCCCAGGCGAACGCACGCTCAGACACACTCATACCCTTTCCTCCTACTCAGACTCGCCCGTGATCGCCGCGGTGCATCAGGCATGGGGAGCCACCAGGGGACATCTCACGGGCCCGTTCGCGCCCAGATTGCGGAGATGTTTTGGGCGAGGCGTTGATTTGGCGTCATTGGCCCCTTTGCTTTCAGAGCCCCGCGGCCATTGTAGCAGGCACACCACTCGAGCACGCCAAGGGGAGCCGCTGGGGGGCATATCACAGGCAGGTTGGCGCCCAGGTCACGATGATGTCTCGAACGATGCGCTCGTTTGACGTCGCCGACTCCCCTGCTTTCAGAGCCACATGACTACCAAGATGTAGCACGCATAGAACTTGTGCACCCCAAGGGGGGAGCCGCGAGGGGGTCTCTCGCGGGTCCGTTCGTGCCCAGATTGTGGAGATGTCCAGGGCGAGGCGCTTACTTGGCGTCCGCGACTCCTTCGCTTTTTTGCTAGAGCCACAGAGACTTCCGCGATGCAGCACACATAGAGCTTGTGTACCCCAAGGGGGGGCCGCCAGGGGGCATCTATCGGGCCCGTTCGTGCCCAGATTATGGAGATGTCTTGGGCGAGGCGCCCGTTTGGCGTCGCCAAATCCTCTGCTTTCTGCTAGAGCCACACGACTACCGCGATGTAGCACACATAGAATTTGTGCACCCCAAGGGGGAAGCCGCCAGAGGGGGTATCCCGCGGGCCTGTTCGCGCCCAGACTGTGGAGATGTCATGGGCGAGGCGCCCGTTTGGCGTCGCCGACTTCTTTGCTGTCACTGTTAGAGCCACATGACTACCGCGATGTAGCACACATAGAACTTGCGCATTCCAAGGGGGGAGCCGCCAGGGAGTATCTCGCGGTCCCGTTCGCGCCCAGATTGTGGAGATGTCTTAGGCGTGGCGCCCGTTTGGCGTCGCTGCTAGAGCCACATGGTGACCGCGATGAAGCTGACATGGCATTTGGGCAGACCAAGGAGGAGCCGCCACGGGGTATCTCGCGGGCCCGGTCGCGCCATATGGTGGGGATGTCTAGAGCGAGTCGCTTATTTTGCACCCCCGACTTCTGCTTTCAGAGACCCCTCATCACCGCGATGCAGCAGACATGGCAATCAACAACCCCAAGGAGGAGACGCCAGGGGGTGTCACAGTTGCCCGTTCGCGCCCAGATGGTGGGGGGGCCTCAACCGAGGCGATCGCTTGGCGCTCCCGATTTATCTCTTGTTCACGCCACGTGGTTACAGCGATGTAGCAGGCACGGCGCTCGAGCACCCCAAGGTGGAGCCGCCAGGATGTTACACTTGCCAGTTCGCGCACTGATGCTCGTGGACGGCTCGAGCAAAACCTTGCTTTTGACACCCGGTGCCCCTCTCCTTTCAGAGCCCAAGGCCCCTCGTGATGTAGCAGGCACAACAATCGGCACACCAAGGGGGAGCCTCGCCCTGGGGTGGCATACGGCGGCAGAGAGAAGGCACCATGCGGCGACAGAAAAAAAAAGCAGAGAGGAGCGCTCACATTCGGACTTTCGCATATTCAGTCTGCCCCGCGCTTAGGATGTGTGCTCCGGTGCCCACACATGGGAAAGTGCCAGAAAATGGGGTACTCATATGGGGGCCCCTGCGTCGAATAGATTCAAATAGTGGCGTCGCAAACGATATGTTGTGAGGATGTCTCTAGCGAAACTCATGTGTGTGGCCGATGGAATGGAGGTCGCACGGGTGGCTTGAGGGATGTACCGAGACCCAAAACGGTTAAACGTTGGCATGCCGACAACCCCTTTTGCAAGCGAAAGGGGGCGGCGGATCGAAGACGCCCGCGGCGAATCACCGCCGCCCCCTGCCCTTGTGGAAGCGCCTGCGTGTCCGACAGCTGGGCTAGAGCTTGGCCAAGCTATCGGACCATGTGTTCCCCGAGTCGGCCCGAGTCGGTTTGGAATGGTTTCGGGGAACGCAAGGGGGAGGAAGGGGAGGAGGAGGAGGAGAAGAAGGAACAAGGAGAAGGGGAGGATGCCTCTTCGGAGCCTCTTGAGGCACTCTTGGGCTCGATTGGACCATCTTGGGACCGTCTTGGAGGCCATGTTGGGGCTATCTTGGTCTCTCTTGGGGCCTCTTGAGGGCCTCTTGGGGCGCTTTTGGGGCTTCTCGGGAGCTTCTTTGGCCGTCTTATGGCGTTCCTGGCCCGTCTGACGCCGTCGGGAGCCTTGGGGCGCTTCGGGTCCGTCTTGGAGGCCTCTTGGGCCGTCTTGGGGCCCTCTTGGGGCCTTTTTGGGGGGTTCTTGGGCCGTCATGGGGCCATCTTGGAGGCCTCGTGAGCGATTTTGGGGCGATCTTGGGGCCTCTTGGGCCGTCTTGAGGTCTTCGGAAGGCCGAAAAGAAGCAATTGCCAAAGTCCTTCAAAAACCAAATGAAAACCAATGATTTTGGCCTCTTGGGGCACTCCTGGAGGACCTCGTGGAGGCGTCTTTGGGGGCTCTTGGGGGCCTCTTGGGCCACTTTGAGGCTATCTTAGGCCGTCTTGGAGGCATCTTGGGCCATCTTGGAGGCATCTTGGGGCCATTTGAGCAGTCTTGGAGGCCATGTTGGCCGTCTTGGAGGCCATCTTGGGCCGTCTTGGAGCCGTCTGGAGCACGAAAAACCCTCGGAGGCCCAGGGGGAGTTCTTTTTGGAAAAAGAATCAAAACCAAAACCGAAAGGATCTAGCATGCCGGGCACCCCTGTGGCAAGCCAACAGGGGACGGCGGATCGAAGACGCCTACGGCGAATCACCGCCGCCCCCTGCCCCTTTGGAAGCGCCTCTGTGGCCGACAGCTTGGCCAGCCTGGGCACCCAAAAGAAGAACCGCCAGAGGGGTATGTCATTGCCACGGTCGCGTTCAGATTGTGGGGACGCCTCGAGCGGTGTACCCGGCTGGCGTCCCCGACTCGTTTGAGAGCCTCGTGACCACCTCGAGAAAGCAAGCATCGCACTTGGGCATCCTAAGGCGGAACCGTCCAGGGGAATGCCATGTCCTCGTTCGCACCCAGGTTGCGCGGATATTTCAGGCGAAACGTTGTGTCGGCGCCCCCAATCTCTCTCCTCTCACAGCTGTGTGATCACATCGATGTAGCAGGCAGAGCACTGAGGCACCCCAAGGAGGAACTGCCAGAAGGGTATGTTGTGGGGATGCCTCGAGCGCTTCTCTCGGTGGGCGTCCTCGACTCCTTTCATTTGAAAGCCTTATGATCACCCCGACATAGCAGGCACCGCACTGGGACATTCCAAGGAGGAGCCGCACTAGGGGGCGTTGAATTGCCCCGTTCGCGCCCAGATTGTGGGGATGCCTAGGGCGGCTCGCTTGTTTGGCGTCCCCAGCCCTCTGCCTTTTGAGAGGCGCCGGCAGGGAGTGTTGCGCCTGCTCGCTCGCAGGCGGATTCTTGGACTGTCTCCAACGAAGCGCTGGTTTGGGCACCCCCGACTTTGCCTCCAGCGCACACTTGCCCGTTCGCGGTCAAATCGCGGGGACGCCTCAATATAGACGATGGGTTTGGCCCCCCCGACTCGTGTCTCTTCAGAATCCCAAGATCACCCTCATGGAGCATGCACCGCATATGCACGATGCAAGGGGGAGCTGTCAGGAAGCGCTCAGTCGCCACAGGCTAAGAGTCTCCCACTCAGACACTCACACCAGAGAGTATCATACAGCACACCATGGTAACACAGACAATTGTATAGCCGGGTGTCGTAAGTTTGCTTTTTTGTTGAGTGTTAGTCGAAAATGGTAAGTGCAGTTTGCCGCCAAGGGTCGTGAGAGTGGTATACGTTGGCCAAAAAGAAAGGCGTAACTTCCCACACTTGGGATATGGAGCGTTTGGGCCTCCTTCTTTGACTTGCCACTTGTTTCGTGCCCTGTTGTGAAGTACCCCCACTGGGCTGCCCATGGACATGTACCCAGTCAGCGGTGGGGTGTCGCGCATGCCATACCGAGGGCATCTTGGGGCCCAGCCCTTCAGCGGCGCTGGCCGGCTCTGGCTGCACCGTGCCGCCTGTCGCAGCCCACGTTTCGCCCCTCAGGAGAAGCACGGGCAGTCAAGTGTTGCACGGCTTGTGCCACGCCGTTCGATGGCGAGCGGGGGAGGGATGAGACACCATCGGACGGGGCCAGGACGAGGACAAATTCGCTCCAGAGCCTTCGGGACCGCTCTCGAAGTGCTCCTGAGAACGCTCTGAGAAGGCCGCGGCGCCCGAGACATCCTCAGAGATGCCCGACGACTCCTCACCCGATCTTATCCTCGTCCTGGCCTGCCATTCGTGTCATCCCCACCCGATGTTATCCTCACCCGATTTGTCTTCGTCCTGCGCCACTGAGCCCGCGCTCCTCGAGCTCGTCCGTGCCGTGCAGCGCCTCCCCGTGCCGGTGGGTCTCCCCCATCGCCGCCGCGCGCCGAGGTGTGCGGCAAGAAGGTCCCCCAGCACATCGAGGAGCGGCGGAGGGGCCGCGCGCGGGTCGCAGCGGTGCCCGTTGGCACACCCGTTCGGTGTGCCGAAGAGGCTCGGGGGTCCGTACGGTCGGGCCGAGGTACGGGGTCGAGGTCGGTTCGGGGGGGGGGGGGGCCTACTGCTCTTCCTATGTGTTGGACTGTCTTGTGCATCCTGGGGGAGGGTGCCCTCGAGTGGTCTTGTGGTTTGGGGCGTGTTGGCCGGCGGGGGGTCTCGTGTTCTTGAAGGGGTGTTCTTCTGTTCTAGGTCCAGCTGTATCGTTTAACCGACCCCCATCCCCATCCTAGGATAACGAAGCCTGTACAATTCCACTGCTCCAGGCCTGACCCATCCTGGGCCCACGAGCAGTGTATACGCATCCTTGGCCAAGACATGAGTGCGTATGCACCGCTCGTGGGCCCAGGATGGGTCAGCATCGTTTAACCGATCCCCGTTCCCATCCTTCGGGGAACTTAACGATGACAAAGGGATAGAATCTCGGAGGTCCGCGCGGATTTCTCGGATCGGCGCTCGAGCCCCCCTGACGGCGCCTCCGGCGCCGTCCCTGGCGCGCTCCGCGCGCCAGTTTGGGGGAGGGTCCAGGGCCGATCCGAGAAATCCGCGCGGACTTCCGAGTTTTTCTGTTCATGCTACCGTTTAGATCTCGAATCCCCATCCCGGTCCCCACCACCCCAGTTGGGGACAGGCCCCTCGAAACTCAAATGGATCGGCCTGTATATTTGTTGTGCCGCTCGCAGCGGCCACTGGGAGCACCTGCGCCGCCTCCTCACGCAGCTGCCCGCTGTATCGCAGGAAGGGCTGGCCAGGCTGGTTTCTCCTTCTCCCACTCCCCCCCCCCGCCACTGGCCGACTTGCCCCTTCCCATCTGGAGGGGCAAGTCGGCCAGTGGGGCCCAGGCCGCGCCAGTGGGGAGGGGGATCGGCTCAACGATGCTCAGGGGGGGCCTGGGCCACTGCCCTTCACTGCCCCGAGAAGGTAAGTTCTTGTACGAGGATCGAGGTTCGAGGATCGAGGTTCGAGGATCGAGAAAGAGGATCGAGGTTCGAGGACATGAGGATCGAAGCTTTGAGGACCCAGAAGGTCTTTGAACGACTGCGAGCTTTTGGAACGGTCTGGCGGGGCCCCCGCGTCCTGAGCGGCGCCCCCCCCTCGAGCAGGTGGCGACCCCCCCCCAGGTGGTGGCCACCCTCGGCATGGCCCAGTCGAGGTGCTCGCCAGTCACGGCAGTGGCGCCCTCCAACTTGGAGGGTTTCTCCGAAGGGCTTAGGCGACCCGTCCCCCTCCTCCTCCTCCTCCTCTTCCTCCTCCTCCTCCTCCTCCTCCTCCTCCTCCTCCTCCTCCTCTCCTCCTCCTCCTCCTCCTCCTCCTCCTCCTCCTCCTCCTCCTCCTCCTCCTCCTCCTCCTCCTCCATCACCTCCTCCATCTCCCCCTCCCCCTCCCCCTCCTCCATCTCCTCATCCTCCTCCTCCTCCTCGGGTCGCCTACGACCCCGGGGGAAACCGTGCACTCCAACTCAGGCGTGCGGCGTCGTGGAACGGCACAGCGTCGGGGGTCCACGATCTCGTCGTCGTGCCCCGCAGCCACGTAGGCCCAGACCGTCGGGGTAAAGCTGCCCCGTTGTTTGCCAATTCGGTTCGTGCTTAGCGCGTCTCGCTCCGCTCGCGCAACCCACCCCGATGCGCCCGTCTCGCTTGCTGTGCCTGATCGGTGGCGTGATAGCCTTTGGGCCGCTTCTAGGGATAGCGTTTCGACAGGACCAAGTTGGATCGGAGTTGCAAACCAGGGATTCCGAAGCGCCTCCGCCAAAGCCTAACATCGTTGCGTGCGGCGGAGCTGTGGTCAACTCTGTGGGCAGATTGCTGGGATGTGGTGCAGATGGGTGCGCATGGCAATTGGACATTGGGGATTGGTTGTTCAATTCGACGTCGGGCTCAGCAATACTTAAGGTTGCAAAAGATGCGAGTTCGCAGAAGTCTGTTGAGAAGGACTGCAGCTTTGCCAAGAAGATGGAGGCCGCCGGCGTACAAAACGCTATGAAATGTCTGGGGTCGTGCGAATCTGGAGGGAACAAGGCTGTGGCATTGTACCCCTTCTTGCAAAACAAGATGGAGTTCGGACCAAACCCAATTGATCTTGGCCAGATGAACCAGCATGCTGTTGGAATGATGCTCAGAACGGCGTGGCAAATGTTGCATGGAGGCTTCGTGAACACGGATCAAGCGAACAATGTGCTGTACTCGTCTGAGACCGGCGACCCACTATTTATCGATTTCGGGCGAGCTGTTCAGGTCACGAAGCCAGTGACGTCCTCTATCAAAAGAAGGAGACTGACGATGATGGTGCGAAGCATGGTTTATGACTTGGTGATAGGGACGGTGCCTGTGAACTTGTGCCAGTTTGCCAGGGACACAGTCCGGAAGCTGCAGACAGACATGCCGCCTTCAGAGTTCGTGGCTCCATTTGTGGATGAGGCCTTGGAAGTGGTAGAGCGGCGATGGGAGCAAATCTGTTGATTTCACATGTCTCTCCATGTCCTTTGGCTGCAACTCCTAGGATGTTGAATTCAGCATCGGCGCTCGCACTTCCTTGGGCTGCATCCGGCCTGATTCGGTTCAGTCTGGCCGGCTATGGCTTGATCTAGTTTTCGATGGCATTGACTCTAGCTTGATTTGGCGCGTAATGGCCCCCCGCATGGGAGCCAGTCGCAGGTTTTTGCTACCCGTTCTTCGATAGCAAGCCATGGGGGCCTTCTGTACCCGCGTAACGTCGTCGTTAGAGTACACTAGCGTCGGGTAGTGTCGATCAGCGCCAGCTCACAAGACCCCACGAGGTGCCATGGGAGGCTGCCGTCAGCTGCCACCGGAGCTTTCCACCCGTTCCCGCGAAGACCTCCAGGGCGTTGCCGCCTCCCTCCCCCTCTCTCGCTCGGCCCCCGCGGCCGGCCGACCGAACGGCACGGCGCGAGGGCGCCGCGGGGCCACGCGCCACCCATGGAGACGACCCACGGGCGGCGGGCGGTGGGACCTGCCGCCGGTCGGGCGCTCCGGCGGGAGGCAGCACGTCGCTGCCATGCCACGCCCACGCCTTTCGAAGACGAAAAGACGGCATGGACACAGACCTTCGACGCTCCCTGCTGATTTCTCGGATCGGCGTTGGAGGGCCCCCCGGCGGCGCCTCGGGCACCCCGCCCGCAGCGCGCTCCGCGCGCCATGGAGGGGGGTCCAGCACGAATGCAAGAAATCCGCGCGGAGTTCCAACAGTTTGTTGTTTTGCATTGTGCTATTCCTCTAAACGTGTCGTTGCTGTGCCCCGTGTTGCGGAGCGCTGCGCCCTCCCCCCCCCGTGCAAGCCTCGTCGAAGTTGGACAGAAGGTTTTTGGAGTTCGGCACTTTTGTGATCCGCGCTACGCTAATGCTGGCACCAGATATTCCGCTCGCGCGCGGGGGTATCCGAAATCTAACACCCCCCTTCTGATCATTGAAGTGAAGAAGGCACTTTCTGACAAGCATGTGAAGGTGCCGACCCCTGCGACACTCCTGGGAGGTTTTATTCAGCACCTGTGCTGGTATGTCTTTTGGTACTGTCCGGCAAAATGTGGCTTTATGTTTTGCTAGATCTGGTTTGATTGGGCTAATTCTGGTTTGATCTGGCTTGACTGCCCACTAATCGGGCGTAGTGCTCCTCAGTCGTTCACACGAAGACTTCCCAGGAATGTATCCCAGCAGCATGCCATGTATTCCTCGTGCTGCACCGATCTGCACGGGCTCCAGCGCAGGACGCATGCCCCCAGGTTCCCAAGAGGCATAAGCCGGGAAAGCCGCGCCGCCGCGATTCTCATGTCGCCTGAAGTCCAGGTCCGAGGGCCGTCTTGGGGATCTTGGGGCATTATTGGGGGTCCTTGGGGCCCGTCTTGGGCGTGGTGTTGGGCCGTCCTTTATGGTTCACTTTTCTCTGGCAGCCTAATGCATTGTATCAGCGCTGTCTGATTGGAGCCGCTTTTAATTTGGAAAATTGGCGATGGGGCAAAATTAGATCTAAATTGCTGTAAGCGAGGCCAGCGTGACAAGACCACGCTGGTGTGTGTGTATGTATATATATATATATAATATATATATATATATATATATATATATATATATATCCCGAGGGAGCAGGCCCGGGGCCTCATTTTCCATGTGTTTTTACATTGTTTCCGCGTCCTGGGCCTTGGAGGCCGCCGCCTCCGACCCCCCATGGGAGGACGGGGCGGCCGGGGAGGTCCAACATAGTCCAGCAGGGCCCCCAAGCGGGCCCCGAGTCGCCGAAAGACCGCTCCAGGACGCCCAAGATAGGCCCAAGACGGCCCGAGAGGCCCCCCCCAAGGCACTCCACGACGCTTCAAGACGCCTCTCCAGAGCGCTTCAAGAGGCCGAAATCGTCAATTTTACAAAGGTTTTCGAACGATGTTGGCCTTCCAGCCTTTACGGCTGTCCGACGTTCCAAGACGGCTCAATAGGCCCCCAAGAGCGCCCCAAGACGGCCCAAGAGGGCCCCAAGACGGCCCCAGAGTTGCCCAAGACAGCCCAACAGAGCCCCAAGACGGCCCCAAGATGCTCCCAAGAGGGGGACCACGACTCCAAAATTCGACCCCAGGAGGCCCCCAAGAGGCACCCATGAGGCCCCCAAGAGGCACCCATGAGGCCCAAGCGAGGCCTAAAGAGGCCACAAAACAGCCCCGAGGAGGCCCCACAACGGTCCCAAAACGGCTACCGAGAAGCTGCGAAACTGCCTTCACGACGTCCCCGACAGGCCAACCACGAGATCCAAACCAACACCCATGAGGCCTCTGACCCACCACCCAGGGCACGGTGGCGGGAGCAGTGACAGCACTTGTGCACAGCATGTTCCGGCGGGAGCCTTCCGGAACACGCTGCACGAGGAGGAGGAAGATCAGGAGGAGAGAGAGCTGGAGTGGGAGGAGGAGGAGGAGGAGGAGGAGGAGGAGGAGGAGGAGGAGGAGGAGGAGGAGGAGGGGGACGAGGAGGAGGAAGAGGCCTCCGTGCCGAAGCTAAGTCAGAACTCCTTGGTACAAGCGCTGTCTCAGGAGAGCAATGGCGTGGATCGTTTGTGTCAGGACAACCGTCTGCTCTTATGGCAGATCTTGTCTTCTCAGAAAGCAGCAGGGCCGATTGCGAAGGCCTTACCTGACGGACCGCCGACGACCCTGAAGGATGACGACGACGACGACGAACGCACATTCCAAAAACGGAAGGAAAATCATTCATGTTGCCTTCTAGGGGTTTTTCTTGGTGCTGATTTGCAAGTGAAGCTTGTGAGCAGGCTGTCGTGCTCGCGCCAGTTGGGTGGGGGAACCGTCGCGAAGCAGGGGTGCTCGCAACAGAACGCTCGTGCTCTGCCCCATCCGTTGACTCCCCCTTCTTCTCAGCTTCCTAAGCCCCGGCCCCTCCTCCTGCTCCTCCTCCTCCTCCGAGGAGGAGGAGGAGGAGGACGAGGATCGGCATTCGACAGAGGCGCCGTTGCAGAACGCTCGGGCCGAATGGAACGGATAGCGCCTGGGCAACCCTCGGCCTGATCACCCCCCCGAACCACAGCCCGCCAGAGGAGGTCCCTCTGACCCCATCAGAAACTTCCCCCGCAGCACCACCGAGGGTGTCGGTGGGCCGGTCTGGGCGTTTCGCATGCGGCCTCCTCAAGAGCCAATGTTGTCAGCCGCTTCACGGAGGGAGGGTGGCAAGTCTGGCAAGCGGGGCATTTCTTTTCAAAACGAGTTCTACTATAAGACTCCGTCGCGCTTACGTAAACATGCCCACCAGGCAGAGGGGTGGGAGGCGATTAGTTTCAAAGTCGCAATGGTACGTTGCTGCCGCGCACTTTGGGCAACATGAGTTTACCAACCGCATGGACACGTAGCAGTACACCTCTCACGAACTCATTATTTTGGCGCGACGTGCGACTAACGTGATCCTTGGTGCGTATTGCAAAACAGATGCGGCTCTCAAGATTCGAGTCTTGCCACCCCATGTGGCAAGGCCGTCGTGTTCTAACCCTGCCAGCTTTCCACGTGCCAAACCGCGGGCAGGGCCAGACATGTATCACCATGTGGCCTCCTGCACTTTCCCAGCCGGCGCTAGCCATAGCGGAAGGGGGCATTTGCGTTGGACGACGAGGATGGGATTCCTTCGGACGGGAGATCACATTGCAGTTTCAGTGGTGTTAGTACGGTGGGGGGCGTTCGTTAAGGAATGTGCCCAGGAGGTTCCAGACTTTGGAGGGCTCCTTAGCTGATGTGGGCGGCGGTGATATCCATGGCCAATCCACGATTGGCTTCCCACTGGCTTCCAGACCCTGGATTCCTTATCGAAGGGTTCCTTCTCCAGTGCCCCCACCGAAGTATCTTCTCAGCCCAGCGCAGGCAAGGGATGTTGACGCGCGGGCGCCGGAGCCCAGCACGTCTGCCTCGACGGCTCCCTGCGCAGCACGGCCCGAGCACTCTCCCGTTCTCTCTCTCTCTCTCTATATATATATCCCTTCCTATGTATCCCCATTCCGGAGGGTTTCTCCGAAGGGCTTAGGCGACCCGTCCTCCTCCTCCTCCTCCTCCTCCTCCTGCTCCTCCTCCATCTCCTCCTCCCCCTCCTCCTCCTCCATCTCCTCCTCCCCCTCCCCCTCCTCTACCTCCTCCTCCTCATCGGGTCGCCTTTGGCCCTGGGGGAAACCGTGCACCCCATTCTTGCTCGGCAGTTGCCCGATGGCAGATTCTTCATCATCTTGTTTACCCTGTCCTTCTCATACTCATACCCGTCATTCTCTGGTTGAAGAAGGCATGGGCCTACTTCGTCCCATTTCTTTGTTTCTCTGCGCGCGCGCCTGTTGAAGGAAAATTGTGAAACTAAATTTGGGGAAGCACTTCGCATGACTCCCATCCGTCCCCGTCCTTCATATTGAGCACGCGTTCCCGGAGAAGCAGGACCGGAAAAAACTTGAACCCAGCATCCCAAACGCAATATTTGCCAATGTTACGGCCAGGGGATGGAAAGGGGAATTCGGTTCTTTCTAGTGCGTTCGCTGTTGTGGCAAAGCTGTTTCTGTCAACCGGCCCGCACGAGGAGACCGAGCCGCTGAACACCGTTAAGCAGCAAGACAAGAAGGTGGTGGAGTTGGCCACCAAGAAGTGCTCTGAGGTTTTTCGACCGTGGGGGGAGCACCGACCACACGGGCCCTCATCAAACCAACGTTGCTGAGCACACTTCCTGTCCAAGGAGGGACGCTGCTGATTCGATCGAACTACCCGAAAGCGCTTCATGCCACCGTCATGTGTGCAATTTCCGAGCCGATACATTTGGGGAGAGACAGGGAGAGACATATAAAGGAACAGTGACTACAAATAAAGAAAGTGTAGCGAGCAGCATGTCGATACGATGTCAGCGATGTCCGCATGTTCACTTCTGTTCGCGCGCGAGCTTGGGGAGGCACTGCTGCATGGAGGGAGAGCATCAGCCCTCGTAACACTTTTCGGATGGGCACGAAGTCCTGGTCGGAGAGACAGTAGGCGCATCAAATAATTCACCAGCCTGCCAGCAGGTACCACACGGAAGTGGTTTCTCCCACGACGGCCTGGGGAACCCACAGAAGGTTTGGGGCACCTTGGGACACCCAAAGATCGAAGAAGAACGTGCCCAAAGTGCATATTGTATCTGGCGCACGCAATCCGCCCAATAGGGCGCTGCCCCCCTACTGGTGAGTAACAAAAGGCTGCCCGACAATTCAAGGCAGCCTCGACCCAGGAGAGGACAAAGACGGTCATGCCACTGGTGTTCATTACTTCTCGATCGGAGTCCCGAGGGGCGGTACTCGGGTGATCTTGTTTATCACCGAGCCCCTCCCAAAGTTATGCAGTGCAACCCTGGATTGCCCTCCCTCCCCCCTTGCAAACCAATGCGAGATCGTTCAAGCAAAGTGCAGAGGCACTCCTTCGTGGGTACGCCGTTCCAGATCCTGGCCCCTGGACGTCCCCAGACGTCCCAGGATCTGGATGCTGTCAGAAGCATCAGGAACCACAAGAACGCCCAACATCCTTGTCCACGATCTTCGACCGTCCCGCGCACCAGTTACCCGCCCCCCCACTTCCTGTTCGACGCAGACAGGCCAGCCGCGGTGCGCGAGGTGTCAATGCCTCCTGTGAAGGCGGCCGCGCCTCGGCCCCGCGCCGGCGTTCCAGAAGGCCCCGACGCTCGAGCCCGACGCCTGGTGTGTGTTCTGGGAGCTCTGGTGCCCTCGGGCCACAGCAGGCGCCGGAGCTCCCGGAGCTCTGAGCCCCCCCCCTTTTTGGCCGTGGCTTTTCGGGGTGCCCGCTCTCGGCCAGGCCGCGGTCTATGCGGCTGCGGCGGGTCGTCCGCCGCGGCAGGGGCCATTACGGTCGCTCCGTTTCGTTTCGACGCGGCGGCGACCCCGCCACGGCCGTCCAGGGTGGAGCGCCGCCGGCGGCCCAGAATCGGAACGACCTGGCAATCGAGGAGCCGCCGATCGTTCAAGGGTTAACGATCCACGCGGTATCAGAAACCAAGGCCGGGGTCGTCACGACATGAACTTGCCGCGAGCGTCGTCCACTAGGCGGGCGATGGGAGCACCAGGGTTAGGATGCAATTTCTGGGAGGTTAGATTCAGCATCGGCGCTGGTCCATCCGTGGTCGAAAACTTGCCTACGCTGGCCTCATCCCTCCCAGTTCGGCTTCGTCCCCCGCTTACTCCAGCCTGCTCTGGCTTAATGAGCCCTTGGTCGGGATTCAGACAGGGCCTAGTAGCCCGTAATCGTTCTCACGAGCCCGTAATCGTTCTCACGAAGACCTCCCAAGAGATGTTTCCGAACAAAAACTCATGTAATCCCTCTTGGGCTAGCCTCCCGTGTTGCAGCCGCCGAGCAGGGCCGTGATACGCCGCGTTCGTGGTCCCGGCCGGCGCTTCATCCTTGGAGAACTCCCTGGCCGCCGGATGTAATTCCTCCCATGGCGAGTCCTTGGACGGGAGCTGGAGCGGAGAGCCCAACGGCAGGGAGACGAGCTTGTCTGCTGCATGTTGGAAGGTCCAGTTGCTGGAGACCCCAAGGCCTCAGCTGGGAGGCGCGCCTTGGAGGCATGGCTGTCCCATGGCTGGAAATGAGCAGTCTTATACGCAACTGGCTCCAGAATGTCCTTCAGTAGGATCGATGGGCCTGGTGCGGGTGGCATGGGCCCGCACTCCGCAGCGGCGAATTTAGCCAGAAGCATCCTTGGCGCTGGCAGGACTAGGGCCGAGCTCACCCCCCTTCGAGGCGCCCGCGGCAGTGAATACGCTGGCAAGCTGCGGAGCGGGTGACGCTATGCGCGCGCCCTGCTCTTTCCCGAGAAAACAAGCGACGACAGCAGCTCTTGCGCGTAAGCTCCGCCCCCTGGACTCGTAAGCCTTCTTATGCTTGCCAGCGTGGACATAAACCAGTAAGTGATTGCACGGTGGATGTGTAAGCTATGTGGTGCAAAGTATGTGGCGGGAGCTACGTGGTGCAAAGTATGTGGTGTCATATCTGGTGTGCAAGCTATGTGGCGTAAGCTACGCGATGCAATATCTGTGGCACAAGCTATGTGGCGTAAGAGGCCACGTGGTGTAAACAGCGTTGTGCAATACGTGCGGTGCTATGTGTGGTGTGAACTGTGTGGTGTGAGCTGTGTGGTGGAGGATTTACGTTATCTTGTGCAAACTGTCCGGTGCAGGCCATGTGGTCAGAGCTGTGTTGCTCGGTGCATACGGCCGCGCAGAGCACGAGGCGCCCACGGGCGGGCACCATGCGACACCTCGGCACACCCACCCAGCGAACGGCGCCCACGGGCGGGCACCAGGCGAAATTTCGGCACCCCCATCCAACGCACGAGGCGTCCACGGGTGGCCACGGGCGGGCGTCACGCGAAACTGCGGCCCACCCACCCGCCACGAGGCGCCAACGGGCGCCCACCAACCAGGCAAGGCACCAAGCGAAGCCTCGGCACACCCATCAAAGTCCTTTGTAACACAGAAGCAGAAACCCTAAGTACAAGTACTGGTTTGGGCATGAAGCACGGCCCCCGCTTCCCTGGACGCTGGCTCGCTCGCGAAAGACCGTCCGAGCATTGCCCTCAGCAAGATGAGGAACCCTGTTATGCAGCGTCGCAGGCCCAAGACGAGAGTCATAATTCCTGTGTTGCTTCAGGCTGTAGCATTTGGTGACCAGGTGCCCGTGCTCATCGTGACCAACAGTACCGACTCCGTCGACCGCGTCTCGAACTCCTTGGAGAAAAAGCTTCGGGAACTGTACGGAGAGCCTGGTGCAGGGGACGCGCAGGGCCAAGAAAGTTCGGTCAGCTGGGTATTCCAAGCACACTGCGGGGGCAGGACGATGAGGAAGGAACTCGGGACGGGCGGGTAGTGGATGATGAGTGTCATGGTGACGGTCAGTGATTCATCGCACCTGATTGTGATGATGGTGACGCTGACGGCCATGACGATTCATCGCCGTCATCATCAGCAGGTTCCCTTCGATTCGTTGTGCCATGGGCTTCTTCAGTTAATCGATCACGTGTGCGTCCATGAAGACAACCGTCTAAGTATATGAAAAGTGGTTTGGCTGCTCGTATGCGTGCATACAGTTTTGCCAAACCAGTACTTGCTTGCACGATTGGGCTTGCTTGGTGTAGGCTGTTTCTCTGCGCTGGCATGTTTCACTCTGGTATTCTTTCTCGAGCTCTGCGGTCCACTAGACCTGTGCTGTTCTAGTTTGGGTGCGTGCGAATGGATGGACGTGCGGTCGGTTTGCTGCTGGATACGCCTCCGCCCCTCCCTTGCTAGCCATGTCATCGATGTGCCAGCCCGCCGCCCCGTGGTTGCTCGGAAGTTCGGAACAACCCCCGCCATCCCCCCTGTCATCTCCTTCGTCGCTGCCACCCTAGTGTCGTTCGCGTCTCCTCCCTCTCTCCCCTCCTCGCTCCTCCAACCTGGGTTGCCGCTGTGTGTTTCTATGATTTCCCCAAGCAGTGCTCGCAGTTACAAACATAGTTTTTTCAGAAGAACTAGTTCTGCTGCCTGGTCTGACGGCTATGTTGTCGCCGTCGCCGCCCCGTCGCCGCCCGTCCAGTGGCTATGTTGTCGCTGTCGCCGCCCCGTCGCCACCTCGTCCCGCCTCGCTCGTTGCCGCCCCGTCGCCGCCTCGCATAGATTCTCCACTCGAACAAGGAATTATGATCTACCCCCCCCGGGTTATCCGCACCCCCAGGGCATGTGCAATTTACAAATGATTTTGCCCACTCGTTCGTTCGAAATAGAAGTTCACACCATCCCAGCCAGGCCAGGCCCCCATTTCATCCTCGCCGAAAAACACAATGGGCGCGCACTCGTTCGTCAAATATCATCATGCCGATAATCCATGGGAGAACATGCGACGCAGCCCACACGCGCGCGTCGCATGCGCATACCGCCGAAATCATTCCAACACCGCTTGGGTTTGTAAGGATATCAAAATCGAGCGCTCCAAAAACATTGAACACTTTCGTTTGGCAGCATGATGTTTCAAAAAGCCGGCGTGCGTTTTCCGAATTCTGCATAAAGCCGTCGTTTTTGCGCCCGCCTGAGACACCGATTCGCAGTGAAGTGCCCGCGCGTCAGCGCGGCTTGCGAGACGCGCAGGGAAGCGCCCAGCGGTGAACATCACCGCGGCCGCGTTGCCATTCTAATTGGCCGCTCTGCGCGCGAGCCTGCGCGCGTTAGCGCGGCCGCAGCGATGTGCCAGCCAGCTCCAAGCTGTCATTTCAATCGCCGCCGCCGGGGTTTTGCAAACCAGGTTGCGGGTGGGTGGGCGGGATGATGATTTCTAGAGCAGCGGGGTTGGCAACTTGAAGTTCGGCAGGACGGATTCTCTTGTCTGGAGAAGAATTTGGATCCACCACCACCCCGAGGCCGAGTTGTCCCGCTCCTTTTGGATATGTGCGAGTCACATATGATGCTGCCCCATCGCACCTAGCGGCGTACCCAACCCAGTTACATCAAGTGGCAAAAACAGGTGGTCTGAGCTTGCATGAGCAGCAGCAGGGCAGGCGTTGTTATATGTTGGGCGTGCTGGATGTGATACGCGCGCGTTGCACGATTCGGAAGACAACGGTCAAATAACAAGGAGTGAGGCCCCAGGTTCGAAGAAGTACGGAAGCGGGAACGACGGACAGGATTGCGCATATATGTAAACAACCAAGAACCATAGGCGCAACATGGGTATCACATGCGATCAAGCGAGCCCCCCCGTGCGTGCATGGCGAAATCATTCGGGCGCCCTTGCGCGCGCACCGGGGGGGGGGGGGGCACGATCCGTGCCAAGGAACACCATGCGGGCCACAGGCGAGCGTCAGCCGCGCGCGCATGTCGAAGCTTGTTTGTTCCAACGCCCTTTTTTCATCACCGACGCATTGACACCATCATTGCCATCGGCATGAACAGAATCGGTGCCGTCATCGGCCTTGCCGTCGTCAACGTTATCATCGTCACCATCACCGGTATTGTCATCATCGTGTCGGCTTTTGCGGCGTCGCCATGATACCGCGCCCGCCCGAGTCACCGACTCGCAGTGAAGCGCTTGCGCGCCAGCGCGGCCTGCGAGACGCCATGGGCGTCCCCATCGGCCAGCACCACCATAGCCGCGTTGGCCGCACCAGGCTAGCTGGCCATTTAACGCGCGAGCTTGCAAACGCCAGCGTGGCCGCAGCGATGCGCCAGCCGGCACCACGAAGTCATCGCAGTCGGCGCCGCATTGGTTCCTATATCATGTAGGCGTGTGTACGAATGTGTATTCTATAGATTACACAACGTTGGATGTCAGAAATACGCTGTTTATGGCCCACGCTGGCTAACATATATGTGTGCGGCCGTTCGGGCCGCAGGGAACCGTCGCACAGTACCCTTGCCCCTGCGTTTCCTCATCGTCCCCAGCGCGAGTTCGGCTTGCATCCAATCGGAAGGCATGAGCGCGAAAGTATGACAAGTGGACGGGCCCGAGTATCTTGGAATCGGGAGGGCGCTCGTGCGAAACACATCCTCCTCCATTCCCCCCCCTCCCCGAATCTGCAACTGCCCATGCAGCATCCAGGGCTTCGGCGCCAGATGCAATGGAACCCGTGGGTTCGCCAGAAAAGTCGTATTGTGCGACCCGTAACCTCTCTATTCGGGCGACAAGGTAAGGACGACGCGAAGTTTTGTTAGGAATCAAGTGTTGACGCTTCGCGTATCCCCACCAGTTTTTGGCCCGGCCGGCCTGTTCTGCGCCCTGCAGCTCATTAGGTTTGTTCGCAACCCCGGACAACTTCTATCGCCGCCTGCGCTCTTCGCTCGCGGCCGCGACCGGAAAAAAATATCCCCACCAGCGTGGAACGCGGCCTCGACATCAGTCTTCGACGGTGTCTGACGATCCGGACCTTGGTCCGTCGAGCGCCTGCACGTGGGTTGGTCGACGGCTGGCGGCGCGCGGAGTATGCCCGCTACCCGCGTGACGATGTGCCCGTTGGCCCCTGGCGCCTGCATCTCGTGGTGCGTCTACGAGCCGGTGTTCACTGACTTCGGGCACGCTCGCGGCGTCGCCAACTAGAATCCCCCCGCCACTTTGGCGTTGCACTCTGGATGGTGGCTTCCCCCCAGTCGACGGCGCCCTTCTCTGAGCGGCAGCGAGGCCCGCCTCCTGTGTGTTCCTCCCTCCGGTGTCCTCTCGTTGTCTCCCTCTTCCTCACTCCTGCTTGCGCAATTTAGGCCGTAGCTCGCTAGTTACGACTTTCGGACGGCGTCGGGCGTTTCCGGTGCGCTTACGATCAGAAAAGTATCCCCACCAGCCCAATCCAGAAACGATGCCGAGGGGAGTTGAAGTGATCAGGGACGTGGGGGAGCATGCAGAAGAAGAAAGGGCGGGGGAAGCCGTCATATACCCCAAGGTGGTGGGATGGATGACGAATCGTCGTCGTCGTCGTCGTCGACAGCTCGTCGTCGTCGTCGTCGTCGTGAGAGGAGGAGGAGGAGGAGGAGGAGGAGGAGGAGGAGGAGGAGGAGGAGGAGGAGGAGGTGGAGCAGGGCGAGAACGATGAGGACGAGAAGGAGGAAAAGGAGGAAAAGGAGGGAGAGTTGGGTACCTCGGAGATACTCTTGAGGCCTCGTATGGGGTCCCTTGGGGGACTCGTGGGGGCCTCTTGGGGCCGTCTGGGCGTCTCTTGGGGCCCTCTTTGGGCGCTCTTGGGAGCTTCAGGGGCGCTCTTGGGGCCATTTTGGAGGACACCTGTCCAAAAAAGAGGGGGGGGTCCAATTACTCTCTCCCTTCGGGAGCACCGAAAATCGCCTGGTGGACCCCTCTTGGAGCGTTTTTGGGGCGCTCTGGGGGCCGTCTTGGGGTCTCTCTTTGGCCTCTCCTGGGGCTCGCTTGGTCCATCTTGGAGACACTTTGGAGGCCTAGGATGGCCATCGGAAGCGAAAAGGCGAGAAAGGAAACATCATTGATTTGCTTCAGGTGTTTGAAGGATCCGGGTTGCTCGGGGGCCTCCTCGCAGGCCTCGGGCGGCTCTTGGAACGTTCTTGGAACGTTATTGGGGCCTCTTGGAGCATCTTGGGAGCCATATTGAGGCATCGTGCGCTACCTTGAGCCATCTTACAGTCTTAGAGCTCATCTCGGACTCTCAGGGGCCCTCGTGGAGCCGTCTTGGGCCAAGTTGGACGCTCCAAGCTTCGCGCCCCCCCCGTCCAGGTCCCGGGGAGGGGGCAAGGGGAGGGGTCCAGACACCCTCCTGGATAGCAAACCGCCTAGCTTACTCCCACCCGCCCTCCCAACACATAAGTGACACCCGAGCCTGCGCATGTTCTACGGTCTCTTAGGGAGGGCAGCTGCTGGGAACCAAAACCGACCCCATGTGCGCGACGCTGGGGCGAGGTGCTCCACGCGTGCCAGGCGCGCCACGCGCGCCAGGCACCCCTGGGGCCCGAGTGTGCCAGGCACGCCTTGTGCGCCAGATGCGCCACGTGCTCCGCGTGCGCCAGGTGTGCCGCATACTCCAGTCGCGCCAGGTGTGCCACGTTCGGGGCACGCACGTGACAGTAATTACACATCGGGAAACATGTCAGCCCCCACCATCCTTGTCGAAAACCAATTCCCATCATTGTGTCTGGTGGGCCTGCACACAGCAGGCCATATACCACCATCCCCGCCGTCCCTGTCAAAAGCTACTTGACAGTGATCGCGGGGTGGCCGCGCATGATCCAGATTGAGCCGCGAGGTGCATGTTGTATGATCTTTTGTCAGGGATGGTAGCCCTGCGCGCAGCAGGCAATATGCTGACACCCCCGCCA